TATGGTAATGAAAATAGTGATGGGGACCATGTGGGCATGAAATGGGAAAGCAGTATGAATCTAATCAGGGGCGTATCTGAGGGGGGGCCTACAGGGGCCTGGGCCCCCCCATCAATTGTTGGAGATAATGATATTCATTGTTTGTTTTATTACTTACCACCTAGTAATAAAAATTAACCACCTTGTAATCATTTACAATACATTGCACAGCAGCAAATGTACAAGAAATAAGAAGTAGACAGAAGCAAAACATTCATTTTATATTAATCATTGTTGAAAATGTAAGATTTTGATGCTTTTAAAATACGCAAAATGCTATTTTAGTGCACTATACGAACGCTAAAAAGGGTGTGGCCAAATTTTCGGCGCGCTTCGCGCGCCATTTGTCTTCAGGCCCCCTCATCATTTCCTTCCCAGCTACGCCCCTGAATCTAATTGCATGGAGTGGCTATAAATATAATACATGTAGTAAGGCATGCATGGTATAAAACCGACAATTTACTCTATTATATTTACCTTACTTGAAGAGATGGAAGTAAACTGAAGTATATATATATGAATTATAAACACCAAACTTAGCCTGGATGACTAAGCAATAAAATCATTAAGGTTTATTTACAATAATTTCTCTCACTGGAAGTGATTGGTGTCACGTCAGTAGATAGCTGGGTGTTTAGGTACGCACATCATCTCAATGTAATCACAGATCAGTCAGTAATTGTCGAGGTAATTGTAAAAGCTCAGAGCTTCCAATCGAGCTTCCAATCTCTCTCCATTAAAATAATACGGAGCATGCGCAGTTGGCTGCATCAAAAATGGCGTCCAACCACTTGGTGAGTCCATGTGTGCTTGAAAATAACGACAAGAAATCATTTTCTAGAATTACAATGCCAAGCCACACTGCACTAGCGTCCCTGAAACGCAGCACAATGGTGCAAAAATCATATTTCTAGGATAAAAACTGTAGGACTAGTTCTTCCTTAACTGTGGAAGAAGAAGAAGAAGAAGAAGGAGAAACCTGAACATTTGGTGCATGCAGGCATGCATGCATTCATTTGCCGTATAACTATCTTATGAAAGTTTTTTGCTACTTTTTATAACACTGAAATGTTTTGATGAAATTATAAAGGACATTTGGACTGTCAGATAAGCCACAATGAGTTTCTAAAGATATTAAACGGGCTCAATGCTTCTGGGATGGCAGCCATTTTGGGGGAGCGCTCGTTCAACTCAACCCTACATACCAAGATTGTATTACTAAGTAACAGGGATTGGAAACTGATGACGTCACACGGACAGACTCTGTAATGGTGGAAAAGCAATGGAAGGACTACACAAGCTCTTCTCCTAGTCTCCAACTGTATTAATTTGAATTTTATTTACTATCGATAATGAACAGATAGGTCTTGGGAGTTCATGACTGTTCTTTGTGACGGTTAAGCATAGTTTTGTTGACAGAATCTTCGCCGCCTCTCGCGGCCCATGTTATCATTGAAATTGCCTTTGTGATGGCACAAATTAACGAATACAGCTATTATTTTTCCAAAGTGCCGTCTGTGGCTTATATAATAGGCTAAAGGCATGTGAAAAACCCTGATCTTTGTTACAGTTTTTGTCCTTTATCCTAATTTTACTTACTTTTTGTGATATAGGTTGAACAGATATGCCTCTAAAAACAGACATTTTGGGATCTTATGATCTGTATGAAGCACTAGTGATAATGAAAGTGTTTTAGTGGCACGTAGCTTTACTTGATGCATGTTTTTTATATTGACACTCTCTCAGTTTTAGTTACCCTTAGCAAGTTATAGGTTGAATAGATTTCACACCTATTACGCATGGTAAAAAAGCATGCTTTTTCTCATTTTTCTTCAAAATAAAGTGCTGTATTACAGCTTTAACAGTTTCTGATAAGTAAGCAAACCTTCAGCAACAATATAAGCTATATAACTGCCCTGGATCTGGCTTCAAGCTACACTTAATCCAGTAGTCCTCTCAGCTCTTGTCTCAACGAGCCGGGGAAGGGGCAGAGTCTTACCATAGATATTATAGACTACGTAGTCTATAATATCTATGGTCTTACAAGGTTCGTCCGCACCTGCTTTCATTAATTTGAATGAGATCACGTGATCTGTTTCCTATCCCTGTTACTTAGTAATACAATCTATGTACATACCAAGCGCTAGCGCTTGGTAATAATTTATTACCTCGTTTATTACCTAGATAGATAGTCTAGCCACACCCTTCAATTATTTTTTAAAACAAAAATGAAGCCTATAATAAAATTTGAATTCTAAAGATTAGTTTCTAACATTCACAGGACTGACAGGAGTCCATGATCCTGATGCAAGCTAAACAAAGTAATAATTAATACCTAAAGTAAGTTCACTATTGGTAGTGGTTTGTGTGGTTGTTCTTTTTCGTGTTTATCAATCAATGTCTTCTTTTGATCTTTAAGAGTATCCACCAGGAGAGCAGGACTAATGTATACAGTATTAATCTCGATATATTCAAGTGACGGATGGGCGAAGATAGTTTCGCATAAATGTTGTACTAGTTCTATCCAATTTGGTTGAGATAACTCTTTTAGGTATAAATAGTTACACTTTATCTTCAGTAGTCTGATGGTTGTATGTGACTGTAACATGTAAGTAACAGTAGGTAGTACCTGTTCATAAAACAATAGTGTCATTTTTTGTTCCTTCTCTCCCTCACTACAGTTACTGTATGAATAATGCGGATCTAGTGTGAAGTTCACTTTAAGTTCTGTCAGATCGTTCTTTTGAGAGATGACATCAATAAAAGTTCTTACCTCTTCATTCAGTGGTAGTGGAATAGATTTTACACTCAACTGCTGTAGACTGGTGTTGCGTCTGAGACCAGTTGTTATGAAGGACACGTTTGAACTAGAAATTTTAAGGTATTTTAGTGTTTGGTTTTGTGCTAGCATGTCTTGCAGACTAGTACCCACGCTGCTGGTATATGCCATCTCCTCCTCGAGCTCCTCCTCTATGTCCACACTCAGAGCTTTAAGTGTAGTATTGGTTTGTAGGATAGTAAATAGTTCAATAGCACTCTCAGCTGTGTCTAGTGGTAATGTAAGTGTATGTAGACTGGGATGAGAGAGAAACAGAAGATGTGGTGGGTATGGATAATGTAGTATCAGACAGTGTAATCCTTTGATATGTGGAAGGAGTGGTGATGCCATCGATTTACTGCTCCACCATCCTCCTCCTATTACTAGAGCAGTCAGTGGTGTGTTCACCTCTACTATATTCAGTGATGATGGTAGGAGTTCATTATCTATGTCAAGTGAAAGGGATTGCAATGTGTTGTTGTCCTTTAGTAACTGCTCTATTACTCTACCAGGTAGAGGAGGACGAGGAGGAGGACGAAATTGATTTAAATTTGAACGAACATGCAATATTAATGATGTTATTGTTTTATTTCTTATTACTCCTCTAATGACACTGATGATGGTACTTGTTATTTCGTTCTCTGCTTCAAACTTAATCTTCATTTCTTGTAGTATTGAATTCTTTTTTATGCATTCCTCAAGTTCAGTGCACTTGTCTGTGTAGTATGTATTGTCAACTGTTTGTAGAGGAGGAAAGTGCATCATTAAGTGCAGTATCTTCAATTGAGGAAGATTGAGGAATTGTAACAATACAAGACAGGGAGCATATTCACCTCGAATTAATTCACAGTAACACTCCTGAATATTGTATAGAAGTGATGATTGTAATAATCTGTGTGTTAATTTATCAGTGGGTTCATGCAAAACTACCTCCAGTCCCTTACACTGGGTCTGTAGTGAGTTATTGGTAGTCTGGCTGGTCCATTTGGTTAAGACTAATAGCAACTCAAACTCTAGGTGCAAGCGATTCCATGTTGTATTGGAATTATTTATACAGTAACTGAGACACAAGCAGTCAAACAATGATAATGATAATAATACACTATCATCATACAGACACAGTGGGTGGTTGTTGATGGATTGTGCTAATACTTGACATAATGTTTTGTTCTGTGATTCATACAGGATTTGAAGAAGAAGAATGGGAGCATTGTCAAAATCATCAGATCTGATATGATCACTGTGACTTATTCTAATTTCAGGATTGTGATAAAAGTAGGAGAGATGACAAGTCTCAAATCCAAACAGTGGTTTCCTCTTACATTCTAAGCCAAGTTGTTGTTTAAAATACTGTTGATAGCTCTCATGTTCAAGGTGAGTTAGGCCTGCTACAAACCTCAGACACATTCGAAAGTGATCATCATCAAAGTGTTCCTTAAACACTTCCTCTGTCTTCTTCTCATGCTTAGCTATCCACCATGCAGCTAGAAATTCCTGTATACTCAAGTGAAGGAACTGATACTTCTCCTCACCATAATCTGTGAATCTTGTCATCAATCCAAGATAGTTTTCCTTGACTGCCTCACTCAGTGACTGTAGTTGATGTAAAGAGAATGTCATTCTTGTATTAGCCAGGTTAGTATAAGCTAATTGACACATCTCTTGTAAAGGTTTAGCTAATTGTGATGGTAATGAAGAAAGACTATCTAAAGTATGTGGGTTAAGGTCATTTTTATCAACGTGTCTTCTTATAGTTTGTAGGATAAAGTTCTCATAAAGTTGAGTGAGTGTTGTTGGTAAGTGTCCTCCTTCCTTATAACAAACTAAAATGACCATGGAACAGACTAGTGGTACATAACACAATGATTGGACATCATTTCGTACTTTAAGATCATTAATGAGTTTCACTGCTATTTGTGAGTCTTCATCTGTTGGTAATTCAAGTTCATCATCACTATCATTAATAAAGATCATATTTTTGTCAAAGTATTGAATAATTTCTTGTGCTAGTTTTGTATCTTTTTGAAGTGTTTGTATAATTACTGTTGATATTTCTTCCTCAGAAAACCCAAATATCTGAACATGTCTACTGAGAGTATCCATTTTCAAAAGTGAGGAAGAGGCATAGCTACGAGAGGTAACAATTACTAAACATTGGTTTAACTGCTTTCTATGAATAATACTAGCAACTAATGAAGACTTTCTGAGTTTTTCACTTAGTTCATCCCAGCCATCAAAAATTATCAGTAATCCTTCTCCATTCCTCTTCTCAAACCATTCAGCTACCATGGGAACTTCATAACGTCTATACTCAAACAGGTCAGTTAGCGTAGTAGCTGTAGCTATATTGCTATTCCTTAAAGGACAGTAAAGTACCAAGTCATACTGTTGGTGTACAAGTGTTCCATTAGACCACATATTTAACAGTTTACGACAGAGTGTGGTCTTGCCAATGCCAGGAGGACCATCTATTACTACTCTGAGAGACAGAGAACTTTCTGTGGGTTGGAGGACATCTTCAACACTTATCTCTTTGTTTTCAGTTAGTTTAATTGTTTTATCAACTTGTCCTCTTAGCATATGCCAAGCTGATTTTGCTTGTGTGCTGGAGTTATGTTTTTCTACTAGTGCTAGTCTTCCAAAGAAATCTTTTCCAATTCTTGGTGGCCAGTCTGTAGCAACAATAGGTTGGTGTTTGTAGTGTTGTCTCATATTGTCAGCATATCCTTGAACATCATGAGGTATTGAACTAATGGGTTTAGCTACATCAGACTGACCTTTTGATCAAGATACATAAAAATTGTATACACATTAAATAATTTACTATTTACCTCTTATATTAGTAACTGGTGTATTGGATACATTACTATCTACTGGTGATGGTAGTACATTATGTGGACTGACATTATCAGGTAAAGACTGACCTAATTTATTGAGATATAATGACTATATTGATCACTGATATGATAATGTACACACATACAAACATTAAAGTTTCTTACCTATATATGCCAGAAGGTTAGATTTTGCTTTGCCAAGTTTATCAGGAAAGCTATTACAAAGTTTAACTAATGTATCCCAATTGACATCTCTATTAGCATCAAACCACCTCTGGAATACCAACATAGAATTGATATCTGCTGCTCCTGGTGTTGGCATCAGATCAGAAACATTTACATTCAATCCATTCCCTATTAGCATGTAATGGTGAGCAGAAGAATGAAATATTTGTGTGACTGCTTTCATATTAAGCTCCATTTCTATAATGAATAATTAGTTTAATTCAAGTGCATTCATGATCATACCTCCTTGATGTACTTGTAACTGATCATTAATAGCTTGTAATAAATTGATCTCTTCTCTTTTCATCAGTGCATTGAGTACATCTCTCCATGTTGCTGCAGGATTCCTTTTAAGCCATTTAGAAAAGAGACCCACTTTACTTTCTTTAGCATCAATTGCAAAATCTTCAATTATTGTAATATCTTGCCGTGTTATTCCAGGTAAGAGAAGACCAAACGATTGCCAGTCAACAAGTGGTTCAAGCCATTGAAGTAATAGGAAAATATCAGGTTGATCATCAATCATAGGACCAGGATTGAGTTCAACATCTCCTGATAAGAGGAGGAGGAGAAATAAAATCAAATAGTAGATCAGATCAGAGCTACTGCCAATAGTAGCTATAAACAAGACAAATGACTGGAGGCAGTGGATCATAACAGTAACAGTAATTATACCTATTGTAAATACACTGTATGATAATATGCTGTTAGTTTGTTTACCAGTTGGAGAAATAAAATTAAACTTCATATATCTTAATAAAGATAAAAGAAGGGAAACAATAAGAGACAGAACTGCTGGCAGTTTAGATGTTTTCTCTCCTAATGTAGTACTGCATAACTTGCTGTCTACTGCAGCTTTGAATGAGTGAGAAGGGCTTCCATTAGCTGGTCTACTGGAGTAGTTCCACAGTCCAATACTTGCTCTCCATTGAGAGACATCAATCATTTTGTGCTATAGTATGGAGGACAATGAGAGAATTAGGTAACTTAAGACGCCCAGTAGCTATTTCAGTGATCACTTACACCACAATAAAGAAAGAAGGACTTTATGAAAGGAATTGAAGAGCAGATCCTTTCTAGTACTGCAAAGTATAAGAGTAGCCTTCACTAGTTAATCAGAGGAACAAGCTTTCCCTGTAAACTGAAATGCAGCAGTTCAGATGTACTACATGTACCAGTATATAAAGGATGGGTGTATCAGTGTATATATGTGTGTGGTATATAGGACCTCATGAAGATAGTTACTGGAACACACCAATAACACTGAATATCATTAAAATATCTTATTACTAAAGAGGGTGGATTTCTGATGTATATTCTGCAATTTAAACATGTAAAAAATGATGTTTTCTCTGAGGGGTGAGACTATGGATGGGTATATACTGTATCTTATTACTGAAGAGATAGGGGTGGATTGGGGTGGTACAAATCAATATGTACATACTAAGAGGACAGATATTACAGAGGGTGGATTTGCATAGGGTGGTTTCTGATACACTACTTCACTGTGGCTTGTGCATGCATACAGGAAGCAAGTCTTATCATAAATACAATAGTAACTGATAGAATTCTATAGACACATGCAGCTATTGACCTTTGAAGTACAACTAATGTACACTCCAGTAGTAGTTCCTTCAGATCCAAAGAATACAATATAAAGTGAGTGGGTGTGTGTGTAACTGAAGTATATCATTGAGTGTATCAGTGTATCATGAGAAGTATCACTAGTGTATCATCAATAATCATGAATAATGTTATTGTACTGACTGAACTGGATCATTCCATTACACAATGATTAGTACTTAACAACACATAAGTATTATAATTAGAGTGAGCATCAGTGTATATAGTACATTATTATTATTGTTAATGTCTAAAAGTTTTCTTTTCTAAATTTAAATCCATAATATTGAGACTTCACTGATAATACTCTAGCCAGTACTGGTGACCCACAATAGAATACTGTCACTGGTCCATATCCACTGTCCTTTAGCTCTTTAAAATATCTATTAATAACACATTAACCAACAACTGAATATATTTATTGTATAACTTAAGAACAAGCAGTTTGACATACCAGTAGAAAGGATAGATTTGCATGATCTATCTATAAGTGTACTAGTAAAAAATAGTGCAATGCTATACCAGTAAAAGGGGTGTATATGGGTGCATACTGGTAATATCATCAGAGTACCTGTTATACATTAGGAGGGTGTACCCTGTATACTGAATGGTGCAATGCATATAAATGATATGATACTGGGACACACCAATAAAACTAAAGGGTGGATTTGAGGTGGTTTGTGACGTGCAATTTATTGTACATGAGTATATACTAGTAGAAAAAGTAAAACTCTAGCAAAAGAGGGTATCCTAGAACCATGAATGCACTGTATATTGCATAATACTGTGTTTTGTGTGGTGTGCATTATAGATAATTATCACAAATAAGCCTAAATTTAGCCACTGAAACTGATAGTGATTTGCCTTGTCTACTGTTTGCAATAGTATGTGACAACAATGCAAAAAACTTAACCTTTGCATTAAATTATTTTTTGCCATACTTCATTCTAATTATAACTTAACGGCTTCTATTTGTGGTGTGTATCTATAAACAAGGAGTTTTAACATAGTACATGTCAGTAAAGGACAGATGTATAGC